AGCCATAAATAGGTGGGGTGAGCCTTCTAATGGTCTCTTTTCTTTCGGTCACCCTCATTTTTCTATGCCTCTCTCCTGGACAGAACCTTTTCTCCCTCTTGTTGCCTCCCCACTCAGCGTTCTGAGGAGGGTTTTTTTTAAAGCTCATTGCAGAAGTCCCAGACGGTTGCTGGCAGAGGTCTTCTGAAATTAGGTCAAAGGCGATAGGATGTCGGTTGGAGAGTTGCATGCAGACTATGGGCCACCAGTTGCTCACCACTGGTCTACAGCAGAATTGAGGAGAATGCAGTCTTCCAGATGCTGTTGGACTCTGGTACCCATCAGGCCTAGCCAACCTGGTCAATGGCAAGAGAAGAGGGGAGTAGCGGTTGACCGACATGTCAGTGCTACATGTTTCTCCTGCTGTGGTCTACGTGGTCTTCCGGTCTTACTTGGAGCTGCCATGGGATGGAGCTGGGAGCTTCTGCCTGTGGAACAGGAGCTCTAGCCCTGAGCGGTGGCCCCGTTCCTTCAGCTACACTACCAGGAGCCTGACCATTATGCATCTGGCAAAGCTTCCTTCACACACAGCTCTTTCCACTTGCTCATCGGCGTAGCTCAAACGCAGAGTCCACCTTGTTCTGTAGCACTCTATAAGCCCTAATTACTTGGGCTTTATGCCACACTCGCTGATTTAATAGAGTAGCTTCATTAATGTCCCGTTTAGTTGTTGCTGATAATCTCCGCTCTTGGCTGCTGCTTCCTCTGTGTTAACGGAGAATGACAGAGGCAATCGCAATTTGAAAGGGATTCTCAACATGCCACTGGTGGACCTTCTGCCCTCAATTGACCATCTCCACCATTTGATCGTAGGCTCACCTTTGGGCTCGCACGGAGACTTAAATAAAGCCATTATTCCCTGCTGCGAGTTGCTGTAGTTTCCAGCTCTTCCTCTGGCGCATTCCTCTTGGCGGTGCCGTCTAATCAGTTTTAGGTTTTAATTAAACAGCTGTCATTTGCTTCCTAGTTCTGTTGCGACCCGATGTTGTATTAAATTTTAATTTAGCCTAGGCTGAATAAGAAGTCGATTCCTTCAGACAACAAAGAAACACTATTAGCAGGTTACAGTTGTAATTAAGAAGAGCTTGGCTGAAGTGCTAACTTGTCAACTTCAGAGGAAGAATCTGGAATAAACATGGAGGTAATTATTACGCTGAGATGAAGGCTGCAACACGAGATGCACGCTACAACTTGACTGGGGGAAATTTCCTGTTCCGAGTGTGCTTCTTACTCTACCCCTGGAGCATTGGAAGATGACTCCACTCCCTCTCTTACCTCTGGAGCCTCAGCAAGCGCCACTGGCAAGATTTGGCTCCGTTTGTTTGCAGCCTGCATCAGTTTTGCCTGCATTGAACTGTCCTGAGCCCCTTTACACCTCAGTCTGCATTTTAAAGAAAAGCATGCATATAAATAAATATAAATATCAAACTATAAATATATGGAGCTGTCTGCTGGCCTAACAGAGAGGACGGGAGACTAGAGTCAAGCAGCTGGAAGACCGAGTCTGCCCAAATCTCTGCCATTGGCTTTATCTCTCTTCCCGGCTCGTTGAATCATATCCCAGCACTTTTCAGTTCAATGTAATTGTGAATCTGAATTTTATGCGTGCTTTCCCAAATATAGGCCATTCTCCTAATACTGAGAGGTTTAGAGAAACTTCTGTGTTTCAGTACTACAAGGAACATAATGAATGACTGCCTTTCCTGACCCATTTGGAATCTCAAATAGGCAGTGACTGCAGACCTGACAGGTCTCATTGTCTTATAGTACAATCCTATCGATGTCTGTGCAATTGTAAGCCCTGCTGGGATCACTGCGATTTCTTTCCCAGGTAAGTGGGTACAGTGCTGGAGCCTCGGGCATTTTTTTGTCCTGTGAATCACATCACAAGCTCAGATATATACACACTTCAGCCAGAGATGGCACTCAATTCTGGAAGGTATGAACTGCAGTAAAATGCAGACTTGGTCGAATCTTTCATATAAATCTATGCCCATGCATTCTACTGCTCATCAACAGACATGGAGTAATTCTTGCCATATTTTTCAACCCATACATTCCAAAGGATCTCTTGAAGTCTCAGCCAGTTCTAAAAATCTTACAAACATTTCATGCTGTTGCAGATTATGCCATGTTTTTCTTATTACAACAGTACAAGGGAAAATGGAAACAAGCAAGCAAAAACAGAATGCAGCCGGGAATGGTTGTGATCCATTCCCAAGTGTCCGTCAGGGAGTGACTCCAGAGAAACGCAAGCAATCTTGGGGGAGTGAAGGGCTGCCAAAGAGCTTTTCCAGAAGAGCACACTCAGTATAGGATAATACCCACTTTCCCTTAGTGAATCCATATTGCATTCTTTGGAGAATGTTTTCTTTGGAGAACAGCATTGCAAACTTTAAAGAAATGTAGACACAATTCATGTTCAACCATGTCCTGCAATTTGCACATATCCACAGCCCCTTAAATACATGACCCCTCCTTTAACAGAGACCCTGGATGGCTTTGTTTGTTTCCTCTTCCTTTCCCCTTCTAGCTAGCTCTCTGGTGGACAAATATATTCCCTGGAGTGCCTGCATAATGAGAGTCTCTGTGCAGTTCATTAAAACTTTATAGAAATGCAAATCCACCTTCTTCATCTTTATTATCCTTCTAATCATCTGTGCCTTGTAACATCATCATCATCATCATCATCATCATCATCATCATCTGTATATATGAAAAAACTAACAACTCATATTTTGCATTCTTTTTCTCCTCCTCCTCCTCCTCCTCCTCCTCCTCCTCCTCCTCCTCCTCCTCCACCAACATGAATCTTCTCTTCCTCCATCTAAATTCTGTGCCATTACACTGAACTAGAAGACAGCTGGGGAGGAATAAACCCAACCGGCTTTATGGCATGTAATTCAGCCCCCCAAAGAAAGGCATCGGCCATCTGTTTCCTGTCATCTGGAGTGTAGGGCAACAATGCCCATTTCCATCCTGTAACCTTCCATTTCAGAGCGTATCCCCCACATTTATGGGCAGCTCTTCACCAGATGTTCTAATCCTTGGGTGATCAAAGGATATCTCAGCAGAAGAATGAGGGTTTGTGGCTTTGGGGGAAGGGGGAGCGAAGGGATTGAGTGAATGGATTTGAGTGCTTCCATGAAGGATAATCCAAGTCTGCTTGGAGTGTGACGATGTGTGGCCTGCCGACAAACATATTTGAAGGATGCAACATCTAGGGTAGGATAGAAAAGAGCTCACAGGACAGGAACATCTGCCTCATACCAGGCCTGCCTGTTTTAGCCAAGGTTCCAGCAAAATTTGAGGTTCTCCTCATTCTCCCTTGGAGCTTGTTTCCCCTTCTTTGCATTCTGAAGTACAAGCTCCTCACCTAGTGCAAGGGAAAGACTGCCCTTCTTTCATGATGGGAGAAGGGGTCGAGATGGTCAGAGAGCCACTCACCCCATGGACTGGATCCATGGGGCTAGAGAGCCCTTCCGTCACACAGTCCTCTGCCCATACTCTGCAATGGCACAGTCCAAGATCAGTTCTAGCGTGAGCTGTTTGCCCAGATGTGGTGCCTTCCCCTCCTGGGCAGATGGGGCATTTCCACTTTGCTTGGAAACCCACTTGTGCCTGCGTTGCCAGTGGCAGTATGGAAACCTTGAACCTGAATGACGAACGCCACCCTTTCTGGCACATGGAGGTGCGTTCATGCACCTCCTTCGATTTTTTCCTTCAGTGTGCATCACTTCCTACAGCAGCCCTTGCAAGTGCAGTAGCAGCTTGGCTGGAGTAATTAATCAAGCGGTCTCCGAGGCAGCTTGCAGATGAATTCTGTGTTAATGGAGTCATTAGTGCACCATGTCGGAGAATGTGTTAGGGAGAAGATGTACATGACTCAGTGACCTCTAAAATATCTCTAGGTGGGGTTCATGGATAGAAAAATAAGAAAAGGTTTCTTAAAATTAGCATTTGACCTTTGGCATCCCAGCGTAGGTACTGCAGTGATCTAATGATGGAAATGAAGGCTTTGCTCACTAGGCCAGCGTGGCTATAAAGAAGAAAATCACGTTATAGCAATATCGGCTTACGGACACTTGAAGGCATTCAGGTTTAAGGAGTCCTACAACCGTAGGAACACACCTGGGGATTTGCAGGCCAGCTAGCAAATGGGGGAGCATCTTGAGAGCCTCCCAACTTCCTCCAGGGCCAACTAGTTAGGCTTAAAGCCCCTGTGTGACCTGTGATGGCTGCTGATTTGGTAGCTCCAGTACCACGACAGGCCACCAGCAGTGGTGGTGCTCAAGGGCAGAGCAGCTCAGAGACTTAGTTTATATTGTTAATTTATATTATTTTAATTGATTTATGTTGTGAGCTGCCCCGAGGCTTCGGCGAATGGGGTGGCATAGAAATTTTCTAAATAAATAAATAAACAAATAAACCATCCCCTGCCCAGCTGCCAAAGTAGAAGGTGAGGTCCAGAGGTGCACAAACCTTCAGTCTCTTTTTCAGAGCCCCTCATGCATGGAATGGACAATCTGCACTGGAATGGCTCCCAGAAGGGAAGGAGAGAAAGCTTTTCGCTCCCTCCTCCAGGGATCCTTAGACAGATCGCTGGTGTGTATGCATGTGTATCTGTGTGGGCACACATGTGTGGCCCGTAGCTCAGCACCATACATGGACTTTAGTGTCACAGTGGTTGCACACCCTTGTTCGAGAGACTCCCAGCACTTGTGATGTCCAGCACTTTACAGATAGGATCATACGGAGAAGCTTTTCCCTGTATGATACTGTAGGTGTCATTCCAGTTTTGAGGACATTCTCTGCCTTACCCATCACACACTCCAGAAGTGAACCAGCTCCTGAAGTCCAGGGCCATCTGGAGCACTCTCTGTCAATAACTCTTTAGCCGAATTCAAAGGTCCTGCGGATTCAACAGAGCCCTGCTATTATGTGTTGTGTCTTTCTTTTAGGACACCGAAGTCCTTAACACGGCCATTCTGACGGGGAAGCCAGTGTCTGTCCCAGTAAAAGTGGTTGCTGTTGAAGAAGACGGTTCAGTGAGAGATGTGTCTGGTTCCACTGAGTGCAGTTCAGCTGATGAAGAGATCATAAAGGTAAGGCTGGTATTCAGAACCCTTGGAGCATCTCAGCACGGAGTTTTGCATGCCGTTTCTAAATCTGACTGGCTTCCTAGGTGATACGATCATAAGCTCAGTGTGGCAAAGGTGACCTTCCCCTGCATCCAGTATTCAGAGAAGTCTTATTGCCTTTGTGTATGGAGATGCACGGAGTTATTATGGCCAATATCCCCTCATAATATTCATTTACTTACTCAATTTGTGTCCTGGCTTTCTGTCAAAAATGGCACTCAAGACAGCTAAAAATAGTAGTAGAAAAACCAGAGTTTTGATGAAGATGTTAAAAAAAAAAACCCCAATTAAACACAATACTCAAGATACAGCAGTGGCAAGAAACACTAGAGTGTATCTTATATGTATCTGCTGGTTCATCGCCACTTTCTCTAGGTGGTGAGAGCAGACAGGGAAGGAACCTAAATAGGGCAACAGAAATGCAAGAGGGAGGCAGAGACATGGGCGGAGGAACTGAGAATTTGCACAAAGAGTGGTCTTAAAAGAAAAGGGAGCCGCAGCTGCTCCTCCAAAGAGTGTGGTGGGGAATGAGAGTGTCCAGCCGTGGCAGAAAGCACACGTCAGCTGGAAAAGTGAGTGGACTATAGTGGCTGGACATTCATTCATTAATTTATTATATTTATATCCCACCTTTCTCCCTTGTGGAACTCAAGGTGGCTACTTGCAGTTCCCAGGTGGTCTCCCCTCCAAGCTCAGGCCAGCCCCAGACCTGCTTAGCTTCAGAAGGATGGATGCCTTCTATGCCATTGGACCACATGCTGGGTAAATTCCAAGCTGTTGACCATCTACTTGCAATCTGATGTGGTACAGTCCTCTCTCAGGACTGTAGCATTCCATTCCCACCTCAAGCCATGCCTGAAAAGTGCTTGAGCTTTAGTACCTCCTAAATATCTTTGCTGCTCTTGGAAACAGAAATTTCCCTCTGCTAATTACCTCTTCTCTTCAATGCATTTACGACCTGACATGTCGGCCTGGCATGTCCCCTGCGGATTTCTGTTTGAACTTCCAAGACAAGCAACTTTGTATTTTTAAGTCATCGGTCTAACCTGTTTTTTTCCTTTTTTCATCGACAAGACCAGCCATGACTTCAAAGGCAGGAGAGGCTTTGTCAGAGAATCATTAACTCAGATCTTAAGTGGGCAGGGAAAATATTAGGACTGGACTATAATTCATTCTGGAAAAGACAGCTCGGGTTTTTCACGAGGCCTTGACATTCACCTCCTCGCCTTGCTTTCTAAATGACTTTGAATGAGTTCATTATCAGGTAGCATGAAAGTGCCCGGTGAGGGGAGAAAGCTGGGGGAGTTCACTAGATCATTTTGCAATGGCGCATTCTCTGGATAAGGCGTGCGAGACTCATTTTTTGCAGACGTTGGGAATATCTTTTCTTCTCCCTGTCACTTCCAGGGCAGGGGTACGTGCCCTTTCCCACTCCAGGGTCGCATTCCATTGCAGAGAAACTCTTGGGGAGGGGCTGCTTTCCAGGAATTCGGGAATCGGAGGGGGGGAAGGCAATAGCTATGTGACCAAATACCAGCCCCTGAGCGTTGACGCGTTTGACGCCCCTATTACTGTAAGTTTTTGAGGAGGGATTCTGAGCATTTAGAAATCTGGGGGAACGGCACCAAAGAAGAGAAAAAATGAAGCTATTCATGCCTGGGGGAAGGGGGAAGGCTCAGGGTTAGCCGCATTTGACCCCCAGCCCAGACTTTTTCAGCCCTATTCTAAGGGGTGTTTAATTCTTAAACCAAGGAGCAGAGAAGTGGACTCTTCCCCATGGCTTAGTCTTTCCCAATCTGGGAAAGTCTTTCCCTCCAGTGCCCAGAATTCCTGATCACTGACCATGTTGGCTGGGGCTGATGGGAGCTGAACTCTGCAATGTCTTGTGGATGTCTTAATTGTGGGTTTATATTTATTATTGGAGGCTGTGGTACTTTCGTTTTTTATCTTATTTTATTGTTGCTATTGTGAACCATCCCGAGATGTCAGTGATGGGACAGTATACAAAAGTGTTAAACAAACAAACAAAACTTCTGGGTGGTGCCACCAGGCGGGGAGCCTGCTGTCGCCTCTTTCTAGTCTGTCTCATATAGGCCCATGCGCACCCATAAACCTGTAGAAAATCATGCACTTCAACTGGATGCTTTCTTATTTATCACTCTGTGATGAACTGCAGCTGTCATAAGCCCCCATAGTTATATGAGACCATTTGCGGGGGGGGGGGGGGGGCTTCCTTTCCCCCACCCCATCACGTCATTTCTGCACACAGACATGGGCTAAGGTAGCTTTGTGGTCTGATCTTGGTGTTAATTGAGTTTCTAATATCTTTGCTGAAGCAGTTTGGTGTGACTAAGCATTGAGTTAAGCTAGGTGCAGAAATATCATTAAAAGGGATTAGGTGCCTAAGAATAATATTAGTAACTCTGAGCAGTGCGGGAAGGTGCTGCATTTCAGAATGCTGCATTTAAAAGATGCATTTGGTGACACAGATATCATGCTGGACCAGCCTGGCTTACCATGGAAGCTTTTCAATTGTGCAGAAATCTTCCCCTTGCACTGAATGCGTGCGGGGGAATCCTCTAATATAGTGGGAGATACATCAGAAGGAATGCCTCCTACAGTCAGTCACTGACTCAGGTATGTGTTTGCCCTTCATCACCTGTTCTTAACCCAGTAGGAGACATACCTCAGACAGGAAAACCTGTAGCTTTGCCATCTCCCAAAAGATCTGCTGCTCACCCCAAAGGCGTACAGTGGTAATCCTATGTCATGTATTTAGTTGATTTGTATCCTACCTTTCTACAAAGAAATCCACTCCAGCTTGCTTACAGGGGCACTGAAACTGGCTAAACAATAAAGCAGTCCATCAGATATGAGAAAGACTTAGCAGTTCCAGAATAAGCCGGGCACACAACATGAAGGAGACCAACTTACAAGCCAGAGGGCTTCTTGGATATAGGAGACTTTGCCTGGTGGCAGAAAAATAGCAGAGATGAGTGAGCCTTTGGGAAGGAGTTCCAAACTTGCATCCATGCATGTGTGTGAATGCCCGCTTCTGCGAATAAGCGTGCGTGAGCTGACTGAATATTTCCAATGAACATTCACAATGCAACCTTGTACAGGCGCTGGCTCACTTCTGTGCCAGTCAAGCCAGCTCACACATGCCTCTGCGCAGAAGCGTGCATTCACACATGTGCATGGATGCAAGTTTGGAAATGCGCCAGCATTCCCTGAGACATGTGCTGCTCCGTATGCTCATGTCTGGGAAGAAGCTTGGACTTCAAACTTTAAATTAAAATTTATATTGAAATCTAAATAATTTTAGATTTCAAACTCTCATACTTTCCTGGCTGCTAGTCCATGTTGACAATGCTAGGCTACCCCTAGTTAGATCTGGATTGGGATTTTCATCCTCCTGTTGGATTCCTGACACAGCACTGCCATTTGGATTGTCTTCTCCCAGAATGATCTGCTGCCATGACCCTTCAGCCAGGTCATGATACAACTGTTCTTGTGCTGCTTTCTCATTCATTCATCAGTCAATTTACAATATAAATCATTGTTTCAGACTGTGAGGTGCTGTCATTACCTTGGTGAAAGGGAATTCTATAAATGCAGGAAACTGATTGATCAATTGATCGATTGATCGATTGATCAATCAATCAATCAATCAATCACACAGGAACCTGGGAATGACTCAGTTGCTCAGTTTTCCTCCACATCTTTCATATGCACTATCCACTTGTCTTCAGAAGCATTGGTCCTTTTCTTCTCCGCCCTAAGCAAGCAAGATGCTACAATACAACTAATCAGGCAGCGTCTGTGTAATTGCCTAATTTTGTGCTTCTTCACCCCATTAATTCTGTCCCTTGTTGCTCTTTCTAATTGCTGGAATGTGTCATGTCCTGTTGCCCATGACGAATGGCATGGCATCCTTAACCTCTGAGGCCTGCTCAGTTGATTCTAGTAAAGCAGGTTGAGTAAGATGGCTGACGGGAGGGATGATGGGAGCCTGCCCCAGCTCTGACCTTTCTGGGAAAAGGCTAGAATGCATGGTCATTGCGACGGGAAATTCTGACATGATCCATGCCTTGGTTTTGAGCTACTTCAAGCCCCTGAGGAGTATTGTGTTCTGTTGCTCTTAACATGGCCAGCAAAGCTGTACAAAAATTCATGCAGAGATTAGGTGAGAGTCTGCAGAAAATAATGGACTTAATGGGCCCATAATCTGGCTCAGTATATGGCAAATATGTCCATACATTCGTGATCACGTTAGACTGCAGTGGAAAGTATGGAAGGTGTGGATGAAAGGATGGATGGATGAGTACCATCCTTTATTCAGGCCAAGGAAGAAACCATACTCATTTTCCATTTCTTCTTCCATTTTGTAAGTCTACCAGTAAAACAAGTGCAGGAGTTGATGGAGCAATCAACCATGTGTGCCTATTGTTGAATAATCTTTTTGAATAATCTAAAGCATTATTCCTTACTATCACCAGGAATGATGATAAGTATGAGTCCTAGATATTTAGCTTTCCTGGTGGCCTTCCATTCAGGCAGCTTCAGCAAGGCAGCGACGTCATGTACCATGTCTGTAGATCGATGCCCTTATAAAAATTAGGCTCTCGGAAGGTGGGAGAGTGAGCTGAGTTGGGAGTTGCCTCCATATGGTGAAGGGTGCTTGCTGTCCCCTCTGCCACTTCTTTCACTCCAGCTTCCATATATCTCCGATCTAGAAGTGGGGAAAACAGTGGGAGTTCTGCTGTTGGGGTGCACCAACAGGGGGATCCCAGCAGTTCACCTCTGATTTCAGATCAGAGACAGCAGTGAGGATGCTGAGCAGGTTCCTCTGGGGAGGAGCTTGAAGTCTATCCATCCCAGTCCTGCAGGATCCCCAGGAGGCAGTGGCTGGATTGGGTGCTTCATGAGCACTGCACTTCTGCAATGCAGTCCTGTCCATCAAG